TGCACTCCAGTTAACGCATTGTGCATGTATATGTATACGATTTAACTCTGTCAAAATTTCAACAAAAATGTCCCCAAACTATGATACAATTTATGCAGACCGTACATGCATTGTGAAACAGGTATTATTCACATTAGCCGGGCGAATTCTTTGTAAAGTAAAAACAGTGACAAAGTTTGCCTATTTAGATAAATAGCAGATATTGACATTCTACTGCCAGGCCCAGAAGACCTAGATCCCTTTGAACACGAAAAACCAATTTTCACCTCAATCAGAAAGCCACAATTAAGAATTAATAGTTTAACAAAAGCATGGCCTCAAAATATCTCTAAATAACAAGTAATTTCATTAAACTAAAGTAAATAGTACATGAGAGATTTATGAGACGAAACAACCCTTGTTCTTTTAAACTTAGTCATTGCAACGGTTGTCTTTTTTCCATGCAAGTGTAAATTTGTCATAATACACTATACGGTTATTTAAATTCATATCGTGTACTTAAATGTATTTTTCAATTTTTGTATCACCTGATCATTGTATAGAATATCAAATATCAAAGGACACAAACGCACAAATTTGTAAATCCAAACCATTTTATTCATGATACAATAACGAGTACACGGATCACTAGTTTTCTAAAGTTATAATTTCAAAAGTGTCGTATTGTGGAGAATAACCGAAACCGTTTGTATTGTACATGACTTTATTTCGAGATATGGACAATCAAAGTCAAGGATTCTCTTCTACTAGCTCAACTCAGCCACCCTAGCCGACTGGACTGTCCAGCTTCATATCATTTGTCACCAACCAATTTCACAAAATACCGTCAAGAAAATGACTGCTTTGATGTTTTTAAATCTTAAAAAAGATCTAGAAATAAAATTATAACCAATTTCCAAGATGAAGAGGTTGGACAGCACCACCTGACTTAAAATTAAAATATTCTCAGTTAGATAACTTGCATGTTATTGTTTTGTTAACACTACGAGGGGTGTTCTAAAAGTTTTGAGACTAATGTGCTTCCGTAGAAAATTACCATTCAATTTGCACGAAATTCACGAGATCTTATTGTTAGGCTTTCGAGGACATTTGAGTAAAATTTCATTGAAATCAAATCATGCGTTTAAAAGTTATTGTGTATTATTTATCATATACTCGTATACACTGGTCATTTGTACATGTAAATATGAAAGCAAGTGAAAATTTAGAAATTCGAGGATACATAAAAGTGCGGTGTAGTTTAGGAATTACTGCTGAGAAGATTCTGAATGAAGTGCATAGTCACTTTGGAATCAATAGTGTTTCGAAAAGCACGAGTGTTTTAATGTTCTTTCTCTTTTGTATCATAGTCAAACATAAAACACGTTTCCTGGTACCACAATATGAAACCCCACAAAAAAGTAACCAATGAACGAGTATCTGAATATGATATTTCAATCGCTGTCCCTTTCTTTGTCGTCACAATATGTAAACCCCGGACAAAATAAACCAATCAATGGGCTTGCTCTGGAGTGCGGGTAACTAATACCTGCACTCCAGTTAACGCATTGTGCATGTATATGTATACGATTTAACTCTGTCAAAATTTCAACAAAAATGTCCCCAAACTATGATACAATTTATGCAGACCGTACATGCATTGTGAAACAGGTATTATTCACATTAGCCGGGCGAATTCTTTGTAAAGTAAAAACAGTGACAAAGTTTGCCTATTTAGATAAATAGCAGATATTGACATTCTACTGCCAGGCCCAGAAGACCTAGATCCCTTTGAACACGAAAAACCAATTTTCACCTCAATCAGAAAGCCACAATTAAGAATTAGTAGTTTAACAAAAGCATGGCCTCAAAATATCTCTAAATAACAAGTAATTTCATTAAACTAAAGTAAATAGTACATGAGAGATTTATGAGACGAAACAACCCTTGTTCTTTTAGACTTAGTCATTGCAACGGTTGTCTTTTTTCCATGCAAGTGTAAATTTGTCATAATACACTATACGGTTATTTAAATTCATATCGTGTACTTAAATGTATTTTTTAATTTTTGTATCACCTGATCATTGTATAGAATATCAAATATCAAAGGACACAAACGCACAAATTTGTAAATCCAAACCATTGTATTCATGATACAATAACGAGTACACGGATCACTAGTTTCCTAAAGTTATAATTTCAAAAGTGTCGTATTGTGGAGAATAACCGAAACCGTTTGTATTGTACATGACTTTATTTCGAGATATGGACAATCAAAGTCAAGGATTCTCTTCTACTAGCTCAACTCAGCCACCCTAGCCGACTGGACTGTCCAGCTTCATATCATTTGTCACCAACCAATTTCACAAAATACCGTCAAGAAAATGACTGCTTTGATGTTTTTAAATCTTAAAAAAGATCTAGAAATAAAATTATAACCAATTTCCAAGATGAAGAGGTTGGACAGCACCACCTGACTTAAAATTAAAATATTCTCAGTTAGATAACTTGCATGTTATTGTTTTGTTAACACTACGAGTATTTTTAGGTATTTTTATTTGTCTATCTCAAATCCATATACACATTAATACAGCAAACTTTGATCATTATGTACACCCAAAACAAAGAACTCTGATCATTATTTTCATTCAAAGAGAAACACCATCATTAACCATACATACAAAATATCGTTTCACGTACACGTCATGTATACGAACCGATACTTAACACCTGGCGAGCCCAAGCTCTCTAAACAATTTAGGCTTAAACCAGACAATAAAATCGCCAAAACGTAAAACACATACAATGAAATATTTTATAACTTCATGATACAGTATAGTCCCAAACATTGAACCAACATGTAACTTCACAAAATCCAATCAGCATCGGGAAACGACTTAAACTTAAACACCCAGTATTTGCAAATGTCTAAAAACAAAGCATCACTTACGATAATCTTGACAAGACAAAATCAGTAAATGCAACTCAACTTATTACAAATATATCGTACCATACATATATTACTCAACAACCAAATATAATACATTAACCAAAACAACTAATTACAACCAATGAACCCTGGTCAATTAAAATCATCACAATTAAATTGAACAAATTTCAACAAATCAACACAACTCCCTTCAAAACAACAATATTCTCTTCTCTAAAAATAAACGTTGTACGCCTTCCTTTAACTGATGTTAATGTCTATTTGCTAGCTCAACGTTTTGATATTAACATGTAGACACAGCAACAGATTGAAAAATAATAAGTTCAATGTAACATGATATTTACACTACTCGTTCTTTATGTGTCTTTTCTGAAAATCATAAAAATATACTTGAGTGGTAAACCTAAAATGTCATCATACTTTAATGTGTGTATAATCAAATCATCCTTTTTAAACATTATACACAAATTTTGGTGTTGACAAAAATTTCTCACATACTTATGATAAGTTTAATTGACACCCGATAGGGTTAATTTTACAGGAGCATTTGTTCGTTTTTGCATTTTATAGAAACCATATAGATTTTAATATAAACTTCTTTTTACCTCATAACGTTTTTTACCTTAATTAGTGGTTTAAAACCTTTTAAATGTTATTTTGTCATTATGAATTGTATATACACACATTTTGGTGTATACCCGGGCGTACCCGGACAAAAGCGACTCTACGGTGAGCCACGGATGTACTCACGTAACATGCCAAGGCATGTTAGATATTAAATGATGGCCTAAATATGGCTTCCGTACCTGAATCGGCGTCCATTGGCTTGCACCATAACCATATTGTGACTTCACCGTTACCTTTTCGGCATTCATGAGCTGCTTCAATGACAAACTGTAGTATAACCGGGATACGTCGGTGCTTTGTCGGTGATGCCATAGATCTCCCCGGAACAAATGACATTGGTTTCACTTCCAAGTGAATTCTGGTTCTTCTCAGCGTCGCTTCAGTCGTGGTCCTGTTTTACCCCGGTTTCCAAACAGGGACTTTTCGGGACTGTATACCGGGACAATGTTAACTACGCTTTAACGACGCCAATACACACTTGATGTTCGAAACAAAAACAATCATTAATACATATGTCAATATAAGATGTTTGGTAAAAATCAATAAGATATTGACACATTGCCTTAACAGTGACTGAATGAAATTATTTCGAGATACAAACTGTTTCTTCTAATAAGTTTAAAATTTGTCCTTAAACCATACATGCGATATAGTATCTGCTTTATTAGGTATCGAACCGTATGTAGAAACTCGTAGAAATTTGGTCGGGTAACTCTTTAAACTAATTACTTACATTTGTGACCTATGTAATGTAAGTATTTAAACAAACAAAAGCGTCCTTCAATCTACATATATCGAATAACAGTTAGTAATCTTAAAATAAAAACAGATAACAATGTCTAACATTATTGATCCATTTTATTCATTTATATACCGACCGATATTTTACGTTTGGTTTCATGTGCAAATAATTAGAAAGGAATTGAATTTAGTAAATTAATAGGTATAAAGGTAAACAGTACCTTATTTATATTATTATTATTATAATTATGGTTATAGAAACCGACGGCACAAAATATCTACCAGTTGACATTAATTAGGTTTAGTACATTAGTGAGCATTTTTAATTCGAGTATGAATGTCAGAAATATTATCAGACATAATTTCAGAAATATACTTTTATTTATTGGCTTATCAAATATATATATAAATAAAACAAAAAACACAGTCCATGAGTTAACTTATTTAATTATTTGCCAACCGGTTTCTCTTATGATCATCAGGGCAAATGTGACCTATATATATAGGAAAAATATCATAGAATTGTAGCCAAAAGAACTCTGAACAAAAGTTTTTACAAGAGGTAGTCAGATCGTTATTGGTTTAACTTTTGATTGTTTAAATCAATATTTAAATAGATAAATATTTTTTGTTTGACTTGTGCTTATATCATATAAAACGACGTTGTAGAGTTATTGTTAATCTGTTTACGTCCCGGTTTATTGTAAATTATAGCCGAGGTGAGTCGAACATTTTAAACTGTGGTATTTGTGCGTATGTGCCATTTTATTTACGGTGTAGATAATTCACGTATCAGACTCAGAGTCATTGAGAGGTATGTTATGTTTTTTTACTTGATCTTTTGACTTCGATCTATGTATTTATTTAACAAGGATCTTAAGGAATAAAAAAATATGTAGAATCATAAGAGAATGGTATTGATTTACGGACTTAAATCGCTATGCAGATGTAAACATTCCGATTAACAACCTATTTACTTTATTATTCTCTTCAAAGATCGGCTGTAGACATTTAATACTCTTTAAAATCGATATTTTATAAATTTATATTCGGTGAGAGTTTTCGAAAACGAAATACTATGAATGGTGTACAAAGTTAATAAATATTCTGACATTTGCTTTAATTATTCTGTTTCATATTTAACAATATAGCTCTTCAAATTATCAAACGGTGTATTACACTTAATTCACTAAAGTAATATAAATCCGATCATAGAATTGTAGCCAAAAGAACTCTGAACAAAAGTCCTTACAAGAGGTAATCAGATCGTTATTGGTTTAACTTCTGATGTTTAAATCAATATTTAAATAGATGAATATTTTAAACGATATCCATGTTTAACACATTACAAACTTAAGATATTTGAACATTTTTTACGGGCTCCGTTTAGTTTGACTTGTACCTCCACAATACAATCACGCTAAATCTAAAAAATGCATTAAAATATAGATAAAAACTTTGCAGGTTACGGTTGATCTTGTCCTCCGTTTTAACGTTAAGATGAAAATAAAAAAGGATAAATTGACATATTATTTGCAGCTAATTCTAATCCTTATAAAAACAAATAAAATATTACATTACATTAATAAAGGTTTCTGTTATAAGGTATTGTGTTGATGGCAGATTAATCTTTAATGGCATCGAACTCGATATTTAGACGCTTTGTCATGAAAAAGGAAATCCAATTTACTAAGCAAAGCGTTCAACAAGATCAATGAAATTCCTAAATCATGAGCGCGAACAAAGCCGTGTTAATAGCTCAACCGGTTAAATTCCATATATGGTTTCAGCCATATTATTTAGAATATTAGAAACGATTTTATGATGCAAATTTCAAGTTAGTTAATCAGCTATCAGTTTAGATATAGCCTTGATATACTGCAAAGATGTACAGGCTGTTGAAATTAAGGTTTCAACAGGGAAGTTTTCTATATGGAACAATTATAAATTTGTGGATTACGGTTTTTGCTGATTTTGTTGACAAAATGAGAAAGGGCATCGAAGGAAAAGTTATTTGAAACATGCTGATCTTTCTTTCAAAAAAAAAAACATCCAAAATTATTATACTCAAAGAACATGACCTACAGTTAATATATTAACTGTGTGGCATTGAATTTCATTACCAATTGGCCAGTATTGGAAACGCCCCGGAATCACATGATTTTATTAACGCTAAAATAGGAAAACATTTAAACTTGCTCTTCTCCTAAACCACAAGATCTATAACTAAGATAGGCATTGTGTTGTTGACCCTTCTTTTTTCAACTCCTGAACATTGCATCCTTGGAGAGTACTGATTTACATAGTCTCAGAACCAAAAAGCTTGAACTAAAATGTTTTCAAAGTACAATGCCTAGAGCAATAGCAGTTTTGAATTGACCTATATAACATTTTGTTAAAATCATAACATTAAAATTGAATATATCTACTCTATACCCGAAAGGCTTAACATTGGGTATATAGTGTCATGTTTTAGAACTTAGTTCTTTGTGGTGTGTCATGTGTGTAGTGCCGTTTTGTATACATCTGTCAAGTTTTCTCAAATCAAGATCATTATGGCCTTGGATTTTAAAAGTGGCCTTGACTGAAATTCGAATGCTAAGAAAGTGTAAATATATAGCATGTAGCTTTTATCTGGGATCTGTCTGGTCTGAGGGCAACTGTTTTAGATTGTCTCATCTAAAAACTGTTTAAGAAAAGTTCGTGACGTCAAATCTTTGAGTGTTTTATATTTTGGTTGTCAAGTTGTCAGAAGTAAGAAAAATATCAGATGAATATCTGTATAACTAGATAAATCTTCAGTTTATAGAAAAGTTTATAGAAAATGCGGATGTTTCGGACATATCCCTTGCGTTTCTTATCTATTATCTGTTAACTGATGATTTGACTAGTTTTACAGATAATTATGTGATATGTTTCATACTAACTAAAGGGGAAATTATGTAGACAGTCAGATGATTATCCGTTATTTATCTAGTAACAGGAAACTTTTTTAGATAACCCATAAATGTGTCAGATAATAATCAGAACCCCAAGGACTATGTCCAAAGTATTCCGCATTATCTTTAATTTGTTAATTTAAAGTTATCTAGACTAAGTTTTACAGATACGTATTTGATATTTTTCTTACTAAAAATCTAAAACAAAATTTACGTAGTTAATGATATATTTTATCTGTTATTGAACTGGTAATAGAAAACTTTTCTAGATAACCACTTAATGTTTTAGATAATAATAAGAAACGCTAAGAATATGTTCGAAACATTTTGCATTTTCTTTAAACTGAAGATTTATCTAGATATACAGATATTTATCTGATATTAATCTTACTTTTGACAAACACAAACGTTCTATAGATAAACGGATAATGAACTATTATTTAACTGGTGAGTGTTGGTACATCTGCAAACTATTTAGTGTTTTTGTTACATACTTATTCGTTAATCTGTCCAAATAATATCTAGGTATATCTGTTAATTATCGTATTAACCAGTAAGTCAGGTAGTCAACACGATCATTTAATGATTAACTGTTGGCAGAATTATACCACCATAAGACTACATTATTTCACTTCTTTTTAACTTTGTAGGATGGCAAATTTAGATGAAGAGAGGTATTTGAGAAATCTATTGCTGCTTGGCAAAGGAACTTCATTTGTGTTAAAGAGCCTTGTAGTGCAAGAAGTAAGTAGATCCGGAAAAACCTTAGAGAACCTGCTTCTTAATAACAGAAAATTATTCAATGGCATATTCAAAGAACAACGAGACATTCTTTACCCAGCGCCTTTGACAGCAAATGCAGATTTAACGACTTGGGATCTATCGCTCCTTCTGCTTGTCGTGAAGAAATTATTCTACCCAGCACTACCACCAGTTATTGCATCACAGATAGCGGCATTAAAGGTCTTTAGAAATTCTATCCAAGGACATCCTCGTAGGATGTCAATGGACGAGACAGAATTTTTATCAAGTCAGAGACATTTACAAGGACATTTGCGAACAATTGCAGGATATGTCAACCAATCTCGTCAAATTGACGACATTATCACACAAACGGCAACAGGCAATATTGACATTGAATCCGTATTTCGATATGTCAAAGAAACTCACGCATTCAGTACTAGTTTTAAACTTTTCATAGAAGGAAGGTTTAAACAACTCAACCCAAAACTAATGTCTTTACAAAGTGATGTGAAAAATATCAAAGGTATGTTAATTCGATTAAAAAACATCTTTATAATAAAACAATACTTTCTCAAGCTTTCAACCTAATAATGTAACATAGAATTGTAACAGAAATTAACAATCTTTTATTAAATATTAGGAAAAAATGTGATCGCCTGATTTATACAACTTTTTACTTCATTACCAGGCAGGTTCGACATAAAACAATGGAACAGAACATATTTGTATTTACATGTTAGGTGTACACTTAGTTTTTGACATTTCTAGTTCTATTCCTATCTAGTAGATAATATTAACTCAAACATTGTGTTTAGAAAACATTAAAATTGTCTCAAGAGCATCTTTTAAATTCTTGGTTTAATTTGATTTTTTAGAAGGATATTTTACACATATAACCCACGTTTAGATTGCAACCATTACATACAATGCTGTACTCATTATATTTCTAAAAAGAACAATTTAACCAGGATTTTTTCGGGAGTTTTCATACAGACATAAACTAAAACAATAGATTCGAAAGAATTTCTTTAAACTTGGTATGTTGTTAGAATATGATTATATACTTTTTTGTGGAACAAATTTGGAGATCACCGTACTCACTTTTGAGTTACCTACCCTTGAATAAGATTTTTTACTCATTTGAGGTCATTTCAAGGACAGATAACTTATACGTATGCCTATAAAAGTTTGTTTATATAGAATATATTTTTATTTTTATCGATGATTACAATACATATTACATGTTATTATATATCTTATTTCTGTTAAAATATTTTCAGTTTGAATAAAGGGACTTTGTATGCCATTTTTAAAGAAAAAAGTCACAAGTTTAGAATTGAAGGAGAAAAAGGCCGAAACACTCTTTACTCGTTATTGGAATTTTGCACATAGACTAAAATAGAAGTAAACTATATAAAATAAACAAACATAAAGGTATTGTTTACCTTCATTATGAATTATCTGCCCTTGATTTAAGCAAAAATGTTCATTTCAGGGGCAGATAACTCAATAACGAAGACGGTGAACCTTATCTTTTGTTCGCTAAAAATGCATCTATAATTATCATATTCTAGCAACATGCCAAGGTTTAAGAAATTCTATCCTTTCAAACGATTGCTGTATTTTCACTTATTGTACACTTTTATTTTGGTTTTGGAAGACTAGCTTTAATTTAACTTGATCATATAGGTTCTGTTTTCTAGTGTACTATACTCAAACACAAAAGCAAATGCAAATTCCTTTAAAAATGGTATTGATTGGGCTGCGTTCATTGAATGTCGCCTTTTCTTGTTGATCTTGTTTATCATATTTGATGGAAATATGGTACGTGAGTAATGTTTTTTCTCTCATGATATGACCGAATTACCTAGTATCTTAAAAGGTAAATGCACTCAGCTTTAACTCAAAACTTATGGTAAAAAGTACAATAACTGACTTCACTCCGAAACTTAGACAAGAGACCTGGGAGATAAACTTTATACTCTAATATCTGTTTTTAAATAAAAATAATTTACAAAAAATGTTGGTGTCATTGTCAGGAAAATGACTGCCCTGATATTGTTTAAGCTAATGAATGATTTAGTAATACAAACTAGAACCAACTTTCAAGATATGGAGGCTGTGCAGCACCGCTTGACTTAAAATTGAAATATTCACAGTTGGAAAACTAGCGTGAAATTGTTTAGTTAACACTATTTTTTAGGTATTTTCTATCTTTTTCTATCTTAAATCAATATATACATTTCAAAAACAAACTCTTATTATCATTTACACCCAAAACAAAGAACTCTGATCATTATTCACACCTAAAACAAACACATATCATTTATCAGCCACTTATATGAAATATTTTTTCAAGTATACGTCTTTTATACGAAACAATACTAAACGCCTGGCGAGCCTAAGATCTAAACAACTTGTGATCAAACAAAACAATAAATCGCAACAAAATAAAGAACACAAAATTAATATTTTTACAACAGTATAAACCACAAACATTCGACCAACAATATTACCTGCATAAAATCTAATCAGCATCAGAAAGAAACAGCTTAATCTAAAGCACCCACTATTTACAGATATCCTCAAAAACAAAGCATCAACTAATATAACCTTGACAAGCCAAACTCACTCCAAACATTCAACCAATATAAACCAAATAGTTCTTGCCAAACATGTATATTTCAACAACCAAATAAAATACAACAACCAAAACAACTAATTATAACCAATGAACCCTGATCAATTAAAATCAGCACAATTAAACTCAACCAACTTCAACAAATCAACAAAACACACTTTTAAAACAACACATTCTCTTCCCAACAAAAAATAGAATCAACACACTATAAGTGTGCCTTCCCTAACTGAAACCTCGCTAGTTCTTTTTGACATTTACATTTACAGATAGTTTAACATACGCACAGCAACTGAGTTAAAAATAGCTTGTTTATTGAAATAAATACACTTCAGTGTATCGCTGTAGGAAAACATTTACTCGTTGTAAAAAAATATCTACAGTGAAACTGTACGATTATTCTGACTGTCATAAAAGACAGTCAGAGCGACCCAAACTTCAAGAAACTGCAGATTGTTCCAAAAAAGTTTTTTTATATAAATTAAACGCTCAAACAAGTGATATTGATAAACATATACATTAAAAGCTTTAATTAACCTTTAAAGTTATTAACATGACATCTTATTAGTTAGGATCTAGATGATAAACAAGATAAGTGTTTAACTGTTGGCAGTAAAATACAATTTTTATAAAATATTATTAAAATATTTTTGTTACACTTATACTCTTTAGACATAAAACTATGTTTTAAAGATGTCCATGAAGTATTGCATGTGTATTATAATGATTAAGAAACGTTTGATCTTGACATGTGTCCTGGTATTTTAGATAAATGTTTAGATGTATAAGGGACATTGGTCTGTTACACAATTTAATCCGTCTCTAATTTGCGTATCAAGACTGTATCAGTATTCATTCCTCATAGAAGATTTTTTATAATGAAAGAGCCAATTTTCCTTTATACATGAGAGGTCATTACTTGAAGGGAGCCATATGAGAGTAAATTTTATACATGTTGGAATGGCATAATATTTGAATGGTTTTCAATATTTATAAGAATAAAGAATGTCATAATTTTAATTTACTAAATCACAATATCATTTCACTCAAATCGAGTGTATTTATAGCGAGTATATTATAAATTAAAGATATATAAAAATGTTTTTGACATATTGTCAATGTAATATGTTTTGACAGGATGCCAAGACAGGCTTTCTCAGACTGTTTCCAAAATCCGAAACCAGTTGGTATGGAAAACAAAATATGAGTTTACGAAAGGTAAATTTCACTCTTCTATTGTTTATGCTATGTACGCAAATCTATTATATTTTCATTGTTTGATAAAAAGGTAAAAGAATAACAACAAAAACAATATATTGAAATGTACTGCCTCTTGAATATACTGATTCATTTTTTTATCCAGTACAAACTATAATAAACATTCATTTGTTTTGAAGGGTTAAGTTTAAAGAAATGTGCTTGACAACGTGTTGTGTTAGATATTTGAAATACCTTTAAAGTTGTAGTTGATATAATAAGATTGGTTAATATAAAGATATACACGAGTGACATTAAATAATATATAACTTACAAACAAAAAAAGAATATATGTATCAATGCGACACCACGAATGATAAATTCAGGATATACCGACCTATTATCTTGGGTATCTTGAACAAATGTGCGTTCTTTGGCGTTGGATAACCATAAATTATTATACGCGAATCTAGGCAGGTGATAGACCTTTAAATACTTGTGCTGGCATGAATGTAGCTTATATTGATTTGTTATCCGTCATGACGTGAATGCTTTCTTATTTTCTTAAATGTTCTTATGATTTTCATTCATTCTTTTGTTCTTGTTTATGGCTTAAAAGAGTTTTCCGCGTAAGGAAACGGAGCAAATGTTATAAAACATTGGTTTAATTGTACAGGGTAAGAGGTTGATAAAAAAGGCAGTAGCTATACTGCCCAAAAGATGTACATATACTTTCGTTATGAAATGGCCTGTTTTGCATTTTGCAATATATTGCAGATCTGAAGACAATTCTATCAGGCTGATGTGA